GGGGGTGGGAGGGAGGGGAGGGTGGGTGATGGTATTGAAGAGGGCATCTTTTGGGATGAGCATTGGGTGATGTATGGAAACCAATTTGACAATAAATCTCATATATTAAATAAATAAATAAATAAATAAATAAACTTGATACAAAAAATAATAAAGTCATCAAAAAGATCACAGAATTAATGATACCCCACCATCACCACCATTACAACCCCCATCAAAAACTTAAAATGAAAAAAACAGAAAATAATGAAACATGAATCTGTCTCTCATGGGTAGAGATTTTTTTAATGGATTTTAATTTAAAATAAGTGGTTATTTAAAAAGGACCAGTTAGAAATCTTGGAATAAAAATATATTTATTGAAATATCAAAAAAAATAAAATAAAAGGAAAAAACTTTCACAGACAGGAAAAGCATAAAGACAGAAGGGAAGAACAAAAAGAAGTTATATGAACCATAGATTTGGTTCATATCCAAGTATCCGTGTGTTGCCTAAAATTTCCTGAATACCAGGAAATAAAAATAAAGAACAAAAATTGTTTTTTTTTCAAAGATAGATGAAACAGTTACCTGTTTAATAAGCAGCTTCCATATGGGCTGGATTTCTACCTCAATGGCATTGGGCCCACACACTAATCTTCTGTAAGAAAGTGATGACCAATTAAGTGCCAAATCTAAAACCTCATTGAAAGGGTGGGTGATGGGTATTGAAGAGGGCATCTTTTGGGATGAGCACTGGGTGTTTTATGGAAATCAGTCTGGCAATAAATTTCATATTTAAAAAAAATTAAAAAATAAAAATAAATAAAAATAAAACCACATTGATAAGTGAGTACAACCAAACTAGGCAAAAGTCACTTCTCTACCTTTAAGGCTCTTTGTGCCTTTAATCAAAAAATATTAATGTGCACATCCTAAAATATTAACATAGTTTTAAAATGAAAGTGCATGATGGACAAAGTTGTTTTTCTAGTTAAAAAAAAAACCTTAATGCAACTCAAGAATCAAAATGCAGTTAGAAAGGCATGTTGAGTTATTTTTTAAACAATTCAATCACATTCTGAGAACACCTAACAAGACCCAGATGTGACTATGTTTCTAGAATTCTCAGGCATTCTAGATTGCTCTTGATGTTCGAGATCATATATATCTTACCTTGGTCTCTTCAGCACCTAGGACAGGCCCTTAGTATATGAAAATAAATACATGAATGAATGAGCCAACAAACTAGAAGATGATATATGGTCTTCACATCTAACACTTTGCTAATCCACACATGAGTACATTCCAGTAAGAGGCCCTTATGTTTGTACAGCATCTGACAATCTACAGCGTTCTCACACAAGAGTCTCTCGTTTGTCACAACGGTCTAGAGGAAAGGGCTAATATCTCCCATTTTGCCAATGGGAAAAACTATTCATTGTGTGTGTTCTGCCAAAGGTACCCATATCTAGTATTAATTGTGACAATGCAACTCTTAGTCTTTTATACGTATTATCTCCTGTAATCATCACATTACCTCTACGAGGTTTCATATTATCATCTTTATTATAAAGGAAACTGAAGTTCAGATAAACTCAGTAACTCCCCCAGAGCCACAAGAGCAGGAAATAAGCAGATCCACGTGTCACACCGTGGGCTCCACGACTCCACCTCACACTCCGTGAGCACTGATGGTGCAATGTGCATGACGTTTCCTGAATCTAAGGTGTAACAGAGCTCAGCCCAAGTTTGTCTGATTTCCAAGCTGCGCCTTTCCTACTGCAATGATTTGCATGGATCCCAGAGGACACAAACCAGGGTCTTCTGACTCCATGTGTGAAAACACTGAGGTGCAGAGATGCTGGGAGACAGAGAGGTCAAACAGCGTGTGCTGCTGGGTTTGCTGCCTGTGACTCAAGATTCCTTTCCTCTGGTACTCACAGGCATGCCCTTTTTTCCCAGTCAGGTGACAGACGTTGAGAATTAAGTTCGGCCCTGAAGTATACCCAAACTGACAGGGAACATCTCTTCCAAGCTCCACATTCAGTGATGTCACGTTGGTGGCTTGAAATCAGCAATAGCTGTTGTTTTTCCCACGATAGAATTTGGCAGACTCTCCCCATCCAAGCTTTTCTTCTTCCAGAGAGCTGGGTTACCAACAGGGTGACTGGTCTGGGGCCCACGTTAAGAGCTGTCTTGACCACCAAACATTTCTCCTTCTACTTCAGGAGGGTAAACAAAGGAGGCAGGAGCAGGGCATTAAGTGAAAAGAAAATGAGGAGGTGCACAACTGTCCTAAGACTATTGGATGGATGGGGGTAAGGTAGGTGTGGTTTGCCCTGTTTCTGTGAGATAAGAGAATTGCCTCACGTCCCTGTGGACCTATCTACGACAGGCAGTGAGAGAGAAAGTGACATCCAGTTCATGAATGAGTGAAGATAGGAGCGGGGAACCTCCTGGAATATTTTTCTTCCCAAGGCCTTCTGAAAATTTCTCTTCAGGATGTTGTCTCTCCTGATGTCCTGATTTGCTTTTTTGCTACCAAAAAGGTGACCACATAAATGTGTCCATTTTCCCTCTTTGCCTGGTTTCTGGGAAGCCTGAAGAGAAAGCTGTATTTAGACTTTGTGGCTTTTTGTCATCAAGGAGTTCTCAGTATCCTCCTTCATTTCTCATGTTGCATCCTTGCTTTTCATGAAGGCAAACTCATCTCCAGTTAAGAATTTAATCAGACATCACTCAAACAATCAATCAATCGCATTTTGAGTTTTGAAAAAAAAAAAAAAAAGCCCTAGTCTTACATTTAAAAATGATGGGAAAAAAATAAAATAAAAAATAAAAAATGATGGGGGCGGGGGGAGGAGAACTTCACATTCTATTCACTCTCTTTACTGTCCACCTAGAAAAACCCATGAGTAAAACCTGCCTGTGTATTTGAAAGTAGATTATCTCCTCTATCCTTCGCATTTGGGAAACTAAACTCTTTGTCTTGCTCATTACACTGTCAAGTTCTTTACGGTGTGGACCAGCTTTAAATTTAATTATGTGTGATATTTAGTAAAGCTTGGCATTCGCTAAGGACAAATGTGAAGGGCAATCCTTCCTGTAGAAATGGTGTCCTAGGAGAAGTAAACTTGCGTTAATCAACTACACCTCCTAACAGCTCAATCCTTCACGTGTCTGGTGCTTAATGCTATGAAACCAGTACGCTCTTAATGACTCTGACAACATTTTGTGTTTCAACGTAATCGGCATTACATCTGAAATCTTATACAGTGATATTATCTCTAAGGCGTTTTGCAAACATTGTCAGAATCTGGATGATGCCTTGTTCATTTTTTCGTCATTTTTCATTCAGCAGGAGAAAAGTTTAAAAACAACAGATCGGTAATTCTCAGAGTTGGTGCGCATATGAATCGTCGGAGCAAGGGTTTGCTAAAAATGCAGTTTCTGCTCTCACCGCTACCCTTAGTTCCTACTTACTAAATGAAAATTATGAGGGTGGAGCCCAAGAACCTGTATTTTATGTACCAGAATGCTTCTTAGCTGGAGAATTTGTGTTTCTTATAGACTGTGAGGAAGGTCGGGCAGGATAGGTCCTGAAAATGGGCAAGAAATGAAGGTAATTATTAGGATTCTGGGGAAGACTTGCAATGGTTTACTTTCAGACTCACCAGCATTCACTATTTCAAATTACAGATGAGGGAAGCAGAGACTCAAAATCGCTATGGGTTAATAAGTAGCATAAGCATTTTTATGGTACTACTATACTATTATGTCCTAATCTCTGTGCATTTATAGATATTCTCACAATTGTACCACTATTCTTTCCCAATAGTTAGTGAATGTCTCTGGGGTAGTGAGTAAGCCTTATTTATCCTTAGATCTTTAGTGCTTGCAAAGTGCTTAGCCTAGTAAAGGCATTCGGTCAATAGATTAATGAATGCATTCATGTATTCATTCATTCCACAAATATCTGTTGAGCGTCAACAATGAATCAGGCACTGTTCTAGGTGTTATGAATGACACAACTACCTGAGCAAACAAAATCCTCATCTCCAGGCTGTTTCTTCATAGGAAAATTAATCATAATATTGTCTTTCTGCCTCTCCAAGGATTTAGAGGATGACAAATCAGATGTCTATGAAATGACTCAAGGCTTTTTAAGGAAAGAATGAAAACAACAACACAGATGAGACTATTTTACAATCCTGAAAGAAAAGACCAAATATTATATGCCTGCAATGTTCTTTTGGACTCTTGTTTTTTTAATAAGTTTGCCTGCGATGAAAACAACTTAAAATTTGTCTCTGTTGCTGGTAAATAAACTGGAATTAAATGAAGCTGATGAAGCATTATGCCAATGGCTCACTGATCATAAGCCATTTGATATTTCAATTTCTGACGGCCGAGTTTACTCTCAGGAAGTATCACAAACCCTACCTGACCTCTTGCTCTTCACTGGTCAGGCCCAGTCCAAACGTGTGGTGGATATCATAGCAGGAGTTGCTGTCTTCCAGCAGGCTAGGGTGTGGTCAGGACAAGAAGCATACCTTAGTTCGTGGCACCCAACAAATCCGGTTCCTCCCTTATATCCTGATGAATGCTGAGAAAAAGACTTACCCGACTTTCTGAAACCTCTTCTCCAAGTAGTCCCAAACGTACCTGATTTTCCGCACTTGGATATATCGCAGCTGCAATTACAAATGTGATAGAACAGATGTCATTCACCAAGTAAAGCCCGTCAGGGGAGGTGAGGGCTTCTTGGTAGGGGTCCCCACGCAGCTCTCACTTGCCTTGATACATTGTTGTAATTCCCAGCCCAGCAGCCTCACTTGCTTTGACACACTGTTGTAATTCCCAGCCCAGCAGCATGACATTCAGAACTTTCCTCCAATAAACATTTGCAGTATTCTTTTTTAGCAAAGACATGCCATAACATTGTGCTCAAAATTGCTTACTTTTAATTCTGGCTTCAATACCGCATGGTTAATGACAGAGTGACGGTCAGCCACCAGGGGTTCTTCTGGGTTCTTGCTTATAGGAAACTTCAGTGTCGCTAAGTAGAGGCATATAACCTTCTTCCTCGTATATCTTTGGAATTCATCCTAGAGAAATCAATCCAGCCCATGAACTTCTCAAATATTATTTATTCAATAAGTCACTCAATCAACCAAATACCTACCTAGACCAGAGATTCTCAAAGTTTGGGCTACAGACAAGAGGATCAGCATTAGCTTGAAACTTGCTAAAAATGCAAATTCTCAGCCCTACCATAAGCCTACTAAATCAAAAATTCTGGGGTGAGGTCAGCAGTCTGTGCTAAGGAGCCCTCCAACTAATTTGAGAACCACTGTGCTAGAGAATGAAAAGACACACTTCACAGGAAAGTTTTTTTTATGAAGAAAACAGCTTCTGGCTATCTTAACATGACATTTAAGCGTCTAAAATCTCTACTTCCCCTCAAAATTTGTATTCTAAAAAAACTGAAAAATATCTAAGAATACATCCTTCCTGTGTTATGTCTTTAAGAGTTGTAATACCAACAGCCACTACTCGTGTAATGGCTAAGGAAACTGAAAATTAGCCTGACATAGTAGTCATTTCCCCAGAGTGACATGGAGGAAATGTCCTTCCTTCCTGAGTCAAAGTAAGAGAGGGCAAGTTCCAGGATACTATTGCCATCTACTTGGGGACAAGAAAACTCAAGCAAAGAAAGATCTCTGGAACACCAGCCAGGCATTGGTGGCACCACCAATGCAATGCTGAAGGGCACTTACCGTTGTTCTTAGCAAAACAGTGTCTGCTTCTTGCAAAGGGCATGGGTTGCAATTAGCCCACACTCTCCACTGGGGCTTCCAGTAGAACACCAGCAGAAGAACCCCACATGTCAGCATGGTTGTTATAAGGCACAGGGCTCTGCGAAGATTCTGGGTACGGTAACCAAACACCTCCTGGAGAGTAAAGAAAACATGACTCTATTTTTCTTTTTTTACATAAACACATCATTTTGTTCCAAGAAACACAAGCTTTAGATGCAGGGGTGTTAGTTGGGAGGCAGATCTGGTTTCGGCTGGTTGAAACAGATCGATTGCTCACAGCTGTCAGCTGATACAATAAA